GGTTGCCTATCCCTGACCCATACTATAACTGTACATTTGCCTAAATATAGAACTTTGCTTTTTTCACCATTGAATTTCATTTTGTTAGATAGTGCCCAGTGTTCAAGTCTCTCCAGGTCCTTCTGTATCTTAAGTCTGTCTTCTGGAGCAGGGCTTTTCAACCTTTTCACCCATTGTACCACTTTTAGGATATGGCAATATCCGAGTACCACCAGTCGCCTAGCAAGGTGTCAAAAACTTGATGACCCCCCCCCAAAAAGGAAAAAAGTGATAAAGTACAGGTAGCCCTTGACTTACAACAGTTCGCTTAGTGACTGTTCAAAGTTACAATGGCACTGAAAAAAGTGCCCCCCAAGCCACAGCCGAGCAAGACACCTGCCTGCCCACCCAGTGGCGCTCTTCCTTCTGTCCGACGTTTTCATTGTTGTGAGCATTTCTGTTGAGAATTGGCAGCGGAGGTGGGGTGGGGGAGTGTTTGGTTTTTATTCCCCCCATCTGCTGGGTGGTTGCAGCAGGTTTTGGTCACTTCACATGACCTGGGACACTGTGACCATCATAAATATGAATCAGTTGCCAAGTATCTGAATGTAAATCACAAGACCCTGGAGATGCTGCAACATTCCAGCTGATCGGCGCTTCTTCTGGGCTCAGCATCGAGCTCCAGCTGGAACCTGGCACTGATCCTGGTGCTTCCACGGAACACTGACAGCCCCGAAGAAGCACTGATCCTGGCGCTTCCACTGAGCCCTGATAGACCTGCAGCTCTAGCCATCTCTTGCTCAGGCTTGTGCGGTGCTGCCACCCGTTCAGCTCATTCCCTCGCCCACTACCACTTTTCTATGATGGTCGTGTACCACCTGCCAGATGCCCATGTACCACAGGTGGTACCCGTACCACTGGTTGAAAAGCCCTGTTCTGGAGTGTTGGCTATTCCTGCCAGCTTGGTGTCTTCTGCAAATTTGATGAGTTCCCCATCTATCCCCTCATCCAAATCATTGATGAAGATGTTGAAGAGCACTGGGCCCAGAACAGAGCCCTGGGGCACCCCACTACACACTTCCCTCCACGTAGATGCGGTTCCATTGAGGACCACATGCAGAGTTCAGCCAGTCAGCCAGCTACGGATCCTTCTGGTGGTGATGCTGTCTACTCCACATTTTTTTATCTTGTCAAGTAGTAGGTTGTGAACTACTTTATCAAATGCCTTACTGAAGTCCAAGTAAAAATATATCCACAGCATTCCTCTGATCCACTAATTTTATCACTTGGTCAAAGAATGCAATAAGATTTGTCTGGCATGATCTGTTTTTGACAAACCCATGTTGGCTTTTAGTAATGACTTTGTTTGCCTCTAGGTGTTCGCTGATTCGTTGTTTGATTATCTTTTCCAGATAGGTAGAAGATAGAAGATTAAGTCATAGCTGGGAGGAGTGGACTGGCCCTTCCAGCAGATGATGATGATGATGATAATAGCAACAACAACAACAACAACAGCAACAATAATAATAATAAAAAGTTGGGACATACTTTGGAGATCATCTAGTCCAACCCCCTGCTCAGGCAGGAAACCCTATACCATTTCAGAGAAATGGCTGTCCAGTCTCTTCAGGTTGTTCCACTGTTTAATTGTTCTAACTGTCAGGAAGCTTCTCCTTAGTTCTAGGTTGCTTCTCTCTTTGGTTAGTTTCCATCCATTGCTTCTTGTCCTGCCTTCAGGTGCTTTGGAGAATAGCTTGATTCCCTCTTCTTTGTGGCAGCCCCTGAGATATTGGAACACTACTATCATGTCCCCCCTCGTCTTCTCTTCATTAAACTAGACATACTCATTTCTTGTAATAGCTAGAGCTCCAAATCAGGAATAGGATTGAAGCAGTAGTCTTGGCATATTGATTGATTTTGATGTATTAATGCTGAGTTGTTGTCTCTTGGACTGCAATGTGGAATGTTGTTTTCTGTGCTTAGTAGGCCACAAAAAGAAAGGAAAAGAATGGGTACATTGCTGGAGCAACCAATGCAAAGATCAGTCTATAAGAAGTAGTGTTTGCCAACTGGTAAATCTCTTAATGCCAATCAGCATTCTAAGCAATAGGGTACTATGAAGAAAATAGCATGATGGCTCTTCCATTAGTTGCATCTAAATGCTAATTTCGTGGAACATCTCATCTTCCTTAAGAAGAAATTTCCATTGCTGGACCTATTTAATCTGTTACTAAAAGAAGCATAAGGATTAGCCCTACAGCTCACTTCCCAAATTGATGGCAGCAGTCTGCCATTGCCCAGCTATGGTCAATGATGAGGCATGAGTATAGTTGCTAAGATAGTAGCTCATTTGGACGATATTCTAAATGATCCAGTCTCATGTTCATTACATCAGTTTGTACTGTGATGAGTCCCTGGTTCATTTCACTTGAGAAATGCACATTTTATGAGACTCATATAAAGAGAGTCACCTGACTGTCTCAGTCTTTCAATAAACAATGAATGAGGGTCTTACTGAAGAAAACTCCACATGACACACCGAGTGCTCTTTCATTTACTAAGCAATATCATGGATTATGACTCATATTGGAAGAGACTTCATGCTGGGTTATGCAATCCCTATACCGTATGAACTGCATGGAATTCATCTACCACCCATTCCAGAGTCTGTGTTCTTCCTCAATGCCATTGACATAGCCAACCTACCTTCATTCACATCAGAAATGTGAGGCCACAGTCCTTGATCTAGCAAGGTGAAACAGTGCACTGGCACCAAGACTGCATCTACGTAAAGCACATACGTATGGAGCATGTAGGTCAGGCATGTCAAACTCGCGACATCACATGATGTTGCACAACGTATCGGGCCGGTTTTGCCATTGTCGGCAATGGGGTAGGTGTGGCTTCCACGTGATGCGTCCAGCCCTTGGGCCGGCAGTTTGATACCCCTGATGTAAGTGATGCACCAGTAGCAGATTATACAGTTCAAACAGAAGCAAAAAATACTCCCTCATGCTGCTGTTTTGTGAAGATTTTTATGGATATACTAGATTTTATGTTTGTGGCCTTCCCCACAAAACCAACAGCCATGGATGTAATATTAAATATGTATAAATATGTATATTTCTGAATGCATTTTTGCTTATGTTCGCATGTAAGTGATTAAATGCCAAGGATAATCTGATTTGGAGGCCTGCTTCTTAGTTGTGAGTAAAGTATGTTTGCACTCTGTGTATATTTTTGGTTCTTGATGATGTTGAAATTCAGGTTTCTTATATATATGCAATAAATGTCTTCATCTTCAAAGATATTTTAGAAGTTCAGCTGGATGAAAAAACAACACAGCACTGCATACATATACCACTTAAACATATCAAGCCATCATCCATATAATGTAATTATTTTTTGATATCAATATTATTATTGATATGCCATAAACAGTAATTTATAAGCTACAATGGTTAGTTTCACAAAACAAACTAAATCAAAATGAAACAATCACATTATGGTTTAGTGCAATTTGTATTTCCAACCAATGACTAAAACAAAGTCAGTTTTGAAATTTTATATCTGAAAAGGGATTTGAATTTTCATCATCATAATCTTAATTCATCATGCTAAATTTTATACCAGGACTGAGATTATATTTGATTTGTGAGTAGTGTGTATAGGCTATATTGCTCAAAATATTAATATGGACAGAATTAAAAACTACATTTCATGTATACCTAATTAAGAATGCATTTAAACATATTGTTAAGATGATGATTTTTCCTTGTGTCTCATTAAAAATTATTTGGGCTTGCCTTTTGAAAGGGCATGGAAATTTACCCTAAGACTTCAGGAACTATTTACCATTATAGGACTCACTTATCTTTGTTACATTCAAATGCAGAATATCAACACCCCACATTTATTGAAAATATTCCTAAATTACTATAGACTATTATTTACATACATTAGATATTATTAAGGGATGTAGATTGTTGATGTGTTTAAAGCTTTCATACCATAATTTGCCCATAAGGAGAGGCCAAAATTGAAGGAAGCTATCAAAAATATAATCATGCTCATCAGAAAGTAGATTAGCCAGGAATTTCCAGCGACCTCCTGATCAGTAACATCTGAACACTTGATACCATGATTCTAACTTGGATGAGAGAGTTTGCTTTTCACAAGGCAGCATGTTTCAAATGCTTTCAGATAATCCAGCCAAATATAACTCATTGTATCATTTATATAATATTTTTCCTTTGCAACTGAGAGTCAGGGAGCTGGTCAGATCACAAATTGTTCCATTTAGATATGTTGGATACATACATAATACAAGCCAATATTAAAAAGGTAAAGTAAAAGGGGCATTTTTATGCAAAAAATGCATGAAAGAAGCCATTTGTTCTCACCTGTACACTTAACGTGCTAAAGTATAAACTAGATCACATAGGTAACTTGCGTCTCCTAGATCTATTTTATTATACCAAATATCTTCAAGATTACATTACATTACATTAAAATTTAATAATTTGGATTTTTCATCAGCATGATGATTTTTGTGGTTCTTTTTTTTAAAAAAGTAAAGTTAGTATAATGTGTTATATTTCATCTTCGCATTTGTATTTTGTGTTAATCCAACTGTAAAAACAAAAACCAAACCAAACCAAAAATACATAAATTCATTCTGCAAATTTGACCCTGTTTATTTCAGTGATGTTCTTTATTTCACTATCGTACTTTTGTGGCCCTTGCTGCAATAAAAATAAAAGTTCAGGCCCTTGATAATAACAAGTTACCCTCTCTACAGCAAGTCAAAAATAAGACACATGCTTATTTTTTGAATTTTCACTGTGATTTTGCACATTACTCCAAAATCTTATTTTAAGAAATATAATCATTAAAGTCAGCAAACTGGCACCTTTTCCATAATCCTTTAAATTGCATATGATTAAAATATTTTGAAATTAATAATGACAATGGAAGAGTGATAAAAAAGACCCAGCACTGAAGTAGCACACTTGGTAACAAGCATAAAGGGCAGCATCTTAACTGACAGTTCCACGTGCCTCTTTGTGAGAAGTGATCCAAAGATCACTATTCTCTCCACTGCATTTCTGATGTGCCTGCAAACTGCAAAGGACCTCACCTGAACAAGTGGTAAGAAAGACCTATTTTAGGGTACATCTTTGCCCTGTCATTTTCTTCAGAAATTGTGCTCTAATGTTTTAATCTACTATTATTTTGAATATTATTATTGACTGAACAGGTTCTAAAGTGTCTGAATTAATAATCACAGATTGAACATTTAATAGATTATAATTTTAATGTTGTAGAATGTAACAGGTTTGGCACCTTTTTGAGATTCATTGATTAAAGTTTAAAACCTTTAGTATTTTCTGGCCATTTGCTGTGTCATTAGCTTGACAGCACACTCTTATCAACCTGAGCATAAATGCCACTTTCTTCAAAGCAATTGGCTGCAGAATTGCAACTTGAATCAATCAGTTTAACTAAAAGTCTTACTGCATGATGCAGTAGGAGATTTCCTCAGAAAAGGAAAAGATTTACCTCTCTTGATAAATTATTAAAGAAAACCTCTGTTCTGAGTGCCAATTTTGGAAATTCCTAATGTATTTTTAGTTTCCGTGGAGAATATGGCATTCACATACTTTCCTTTTGGGTTTTTTCTGCAATCATGTTGCCTTCTTTGCAAACCTCTGCCACAGTAAATTCACTCATAACTTTTAGCAAAGGAACTGCAGAATATGTGTATGTTTCCTGAGGATTGGTAACATTATGATACATCATGAGTTCAAGCATAACATTTTCACCCATTTATATCTGTGTAAGGTGAGTGCGCCATGAAATGAAAAATGCATAATTTTTCTTGTATGTCTTGACTGAACGCTTTCATTTTGTTTCTTAACAACCCAAATAGGAATGCTGACTCTGATAGATATTTGTGGCTTACAAAAAAGGGGTGAGAAGAATGCCTAATCCAATTCACCTCTTAAAATTTCATAATCTTATTTCACATCCTAAAATGGGTCCAAAATAAGTCCATTGTACTTTATCTTCAGTTGTAAATGTCCCATATATAATCATAGATGAAGAAAATTTCAGAAAAACATCAATAATGGGACTAACCTTAACATAAGGCATCATACTAGATGGTCTTAATAATATTATAGCTCAGCATCCTAAATATCTATAAAATATATTATTAGATTCAAATATTATTTTAGGCTTCTTAAAAAATCTGGATAAGTAAATAGGAATGGTAATTTACAAATATAAATGATGTTTTCCTAGTGGAATGTATGATGTTCTTCTAAATAAATGTACTACAGTATGTAATCATCATAATACAACAGTTTACCATGATCAATTTAGTATAAACTGCTCAAAATAAGTGCCAAAGACCAATTGCCTTGCTCTGCATATGCATTGTGCAGCCTGATCCTATATATATTTACTTAGAAGTGGAACACCATCAAAATGCATTCAACAACTCACCCATGTGCATGCCAAAGTAAGTAAAGTCCTAATTTACTAATTGAACTTTCTGAAGTTAGATTATAAAAGACACTGGTATAGTCCAATCATGAGTGGCAAGTGGTCTACCGGTGAAGCATTCAATCCTAGGTAGTGGTAGATATTTCTCTCCTAGGGCACAAGGGAATAATATCTGCTGCAAATTCCATGCAGATGTCAGGAAGGACATCTGGCCAGGAAATGCTCAGCTCCATCCAGTCACTCCTACCCTGAATTAAGGGATTATAGGGTTGCAAAAAGGGAGTTAGTGTTATAATCCAGCTCCATATAGGTCTACTTAGAAATCCTGACAAACATATCCCCATGTTTAAGAATGTATGATTGCAGCCTGGCTCATCAACTTCACTTCTTTCAGTTGCATCAAAGGCATCTTAAGGATTTAATGTTTCTTTGCCCATAACTCATCAAATTTCCATAGCTTATTTCAAAATCTCACTTTCATACATTGTTTTGAAGCAAAAGAATATTGGAAAGATAGATGTGTAAAATATGAAAGGCTTAAAATGCCATCTTATGTTTGCTATTTGTTTGTTGTTAACTCTTTTAACAGTTAAAGATGTACACTTGGGATTTCTTCTTCTAATTTCCTCCCAAACCACATCACTATACAAGATAGTGGCTAAAGTTAACTGATACTACTGATTGTAGATTAAGATCTAGGTCTCCCAGATGCTAGTTTAGTGCCCAGCTGGAGTTAAGGCTTATCCTGATCCATTACATGAATTATCATGCCATTTACACAATCTCTATGGATAGATACAATCAGGGCTTACCTTGTAGGGTAGGCAAGGCGGGTTGTATGACATGTGTGAGTTCCGGCACCTTTTTTTTTTTTTTTTTACAAAAAAAGCACTGGGTACAATGTTCCCTAAAGAAAACCTTAAAACAAATCCCAAAGATTGACAGTGGTAAGGTAATAATATTTTATCCAATTTAGCAACAGAAAAATTTGCTAAGTGTACAATAGAGGTTTTAAATAAGGATGCACACTTAAATTGGGCCAAAATTGTACAGCTGCTTTTATCAGAAAGCATAGTTGGCTCAATCAGGACATCCGTCTCATATATATAATATAGTGATGAGAAAAGTAAAGTGGAACAAGTATGCTATGCCGAGGTATGTCCTGCATGATCTGCCAAACATTTTCTGTTATAGATGATCTTCAGATAATGTTACTGGAATCTAGAGGTCATTGCACTGTTTCGTGTGAATCAAGGAGAACTAGCCAAGTTTGCAAAATAGGTCAGAAAGCACACAAAGTTGTCTCTTAAGTGCAGCATGAGTAGCCCATCACTTAAAGAAGGGCCTTCTCCATGATGCTCCATCTCTCTGGAACATCATCGCCTCAGAGATTAGACAGGCCCCGACTCTAACACTCTTTCAGAAGGCTCTGAAGACGTGGTTCTGCAAGTAAGCCTGGGAAACCCAGAGTGGGATGGAGCCCAGTAAATGGCTAGTTTGAATGTGTGTTGTCGCCAGGGTGAGGTGGGGTTATTTTTTTATTTTTCTTATTATTTTTACATGTAAGCCGCCTTGAGTTGCCATGTGCAAGTAAGCAGCAATATAAATTTAAACAAACAAACAAACAAACAAATAAATGTAGCATGATAGCCCATCTACCATAACTGAATATTCTCTTCTGTTTTGGTACTGCCATTGAACCGCCCATTGGTTTCATGTGAATTTAACATATAATTTTCAGAGATTCTGTAGGAAGCCCATCTTCACCAAACCCAGACAGGAGTAATGCTTCTGAAGAAGAGGAAAGGCTGAGTTAAAATGGAAGCCGTGGTAAAAAGTGCAGATCTCTTTTGGTGGAGGCAGCAGCAGTAGTTTTCTTATGCCACGTGATCAGCTTTTTATGGACTTGACAGACCAGGCTTTCTCAACCTTGGTAGCTTTAAGAAGTGTAGATTTCAACTCCCAGAATTATCTAGCCAACAACTCTACACTTGTGAAAGCCACCAGGTTGAGAAACACTGTCACAGACATTTGTTCAAAAAGAACAAAAGGTCTGCAAGTAAAGGTGAGAAATATGAATGAGATACCAACAAACGTGCTCCCTTTTGTATTTTTCCAGATTGTTCCACATGGAATGTCTTTTGTGAGATATTCTTCATACTTTGCCCTTTGATTTAGTGGAAAAATATATGCTTTTGACTTTTTTTCACATCAGAAAGCAGTCTTAAAGAAATCAATATGGATGGTGATGTGCGGTTATTAGACTTAATTATGAGGTGGCTAAAAATATCAGTTGGTGTCCTATACAGTTCAGGGTTCTGCAGTCTCCTTGGCCTCCTACATTTTAAACATATATCAATATCAAATAAGTGATTTTTTTTCATGGATTTCTTTTCCAGATTACAGAGAGTGGGTAACCTCTGAGGTTACAGAATAAACTGGCTATGACAGTCTATCAATCAAAGAAGACAGTCCTGTAGAAACTGGAAAAACTAGTTTGATCTAAGCTTAATTTCATTTTAGCACTGTTTTTTTTAAAAATTGGGATGGTGAAAACTTTTAAAAGAAATACTTCACACCACATGGCAAAATGTATGAAGTATCTCTTTTGGAATAATTTCAGCCATGTTGCTTGCAAGGATTGTGCTGCTGCTTCAGAAGCAGCTCCCTGTTGTTGTCATCTGCATGCATGTTCAGAAAGCTTCAGAAGGGATAACAAATGCTAAAAAAATTAAAAAGGGTGGGCAAAACTATCTAATATGCTTATACTGCTAAGGATCATGGTGTGCTTTGATACCCACATACTGATTGCTGCATTCAGCACTTAAATCAAGTGGGGAAAGTGAAACTGATCCCTTTGTAGTCACAAATAAATAACAAATGTGGTATGGCCAAAACATATTAAATAGTATGCAGGATGGAGAAGTTCCAGAAATGCAGATGCATATGTGATTGCCAGTCACTCCAAGAGAAACTTTATTACTTTGAATAATGTTTCAAAAGACAATGGGATTGCAGACTGACAGAATGGAAAAGGTCAACGTTGTCTGCAATCCTGTCACATGATCCCTCTGACATACAAACTGTACTTTTGTTAATAATCTGAACCTGGAAAAGACCTGGAGAGAAAAAAATAGTAAGGTTTTTCATATAGTCTCTATGATGGGAAGGAGAAGTTGAAATGGGCTAAGGAGCTGGCAGGAAACCAGCAGGGCTGAAGTTAAAGTCAAAGCGAGAGAAGGCATTTAAAAGTGACTTTTTAGTAGTATTCTGGAAAATCAGATAACTGTTTCATGGAAGGAGGACAGTGATTGAGAAACTACATTCTCTTAGTGAAGAGATGGCCATCTATCTGATCTTACTGGACAGGTAAATACTATTGGAAGTGGATGGTTCCACAGAAATTCAATGCTTGAATTATTAAGAGTTTTGAAAGTAATGGCTATCAACTTGAACTGCACATGGAAGCCAATTGGCAACCATCATAAATGTTGCAATAGTGATATTATAATGGCAAATCAGGCTGTATGTGTAACTACTCAAGCTGCCTCAACCTGGATGAGCTGTAGCTTACAACTGTTCTTCAAAAGCAGTATCATGTAGCACACATTGCAATAGTCCAGTTGACAGGTAAATAAAGTATGACTGACTAGGAATAGGGCTTCCTGTTCTGTCCTCCTGAACCATAAATCAGTATAACTATACATAAAATGGAATTCTACAAAGGCCCTTAATGGATATAGTTGTCATCTTCGCATAGAGTGGGAACTATGAGTCCCAGCTAATTTCCAAGTTAAAAGTCAGATTTCTATGGAGGAACGTGACTGTATCTAGAACTAAAGCATCATTTCTCATTTCAAGCACAAAGCCACTCCATCTTGCTGGGATTAAGCCTGATTTGGTGCCTCTCTAGCCAGTTTCTAGTCTATAAACACTAGAGCATCACTTTGACAGAATCATCTGTTTTACCCTGATCCTAGTAAAATATTTTTTTCTGTATCAATTAGCTTTAGGCAAAAAAATCAGATATATTTCCTAAATCCGCTTCATATTCATTGATATAAATATGCACGTAAGTCCCAGGGAGGGACTATAGTAAAGTATACATTGGTACGCACAAAATTTCAATGTTCAATCAGGGCAGGAATATCTCCTTGAAACTTTGAAAAATAAGAACAAATTATTTTTGACTATATTGGATCAGACTGAGAAAAGGCCTGAATTGAGACAAAGTAGCTTCCAATGATATTTCCTAAGGCAGCGGCTCCCAACCTTTTCTATATCCCGCACCCCTAGAATGCTTTTGATATATTCTTACACCCCTTACAAAAGTTTGAAATAACGGCAACGAATTATGCATATACACTATAATTTTGAAAACCCAAGTTTTCACACTCCCAGTTAGGAACCCCTGTCCTAAGGTCTTGAGATATTGCTATTTTCAACTCAGCAGCTTCAGCCACTATGACCATTGCTGAAAAATATTGAAAGCTATAGATCAATGACTCTTGGAGGGCCACAATGTCTTTCCCCTGCTCTTGCAAAAATGTATCTTCTTTCTAAAAAAAAAACTATCATTGATAGTATTACACTATATTTTTTCCAGGTTAAACATGAAGCAAGGATCAACCTTTCTTTTTTGTTCTATGGTGCTGCTAGTGATGCTTAGCTGTTACCATGAAGTTGCTGCAGAAGAAAACTCTCAACAACCCCAAGGATCTTGTGTAAATTGGATGGCTGGAACACCAGGTCACCCAGGTCATAATGGAGAAGCTGGGAGAGATGGACGGGATGGAAGAGATGGCCAAAAGGGAGAGAAAGGAGAGCAAGGTGATAGATTTAGTGTTCATCTTGTTTCTGTGAGAATGGTATGTTTGATGTGCAGTATTCTTTAAACTAGTGTTCTCCAGGTATTTTGGAACACAATTCCTGTGCTAGCTAAGGATTATGGGAAGTGTTGTGTAATATATTGGGTGACATCAAGAGAGGAAGCCTGCTTTAATTCATTTAAATTAGGTTTCCTGATTAAATGGGATGGAGATGATTATGTACACCATTGTTTTTCAAACTTGGCAACTTTAAAATGTTTGGACTTCAACTTCAGAAATTTCCCAACCAGTTTGGCTGGCTGGGGAATTCTGGGAGTTGAACCCCTCACATCTTACAGTTGCCAAGTTTGAGAAACACTGATTTACACCAGTAATTTTCAAGATAGTCCTTTTTTCAAAATTTTTCTTCAGATTTATAGAAGGAACATAACAGAAATATACAATGCTATACATGTCCCAGAAAAAGAATGTTGATGTTAAAGAAAATCTGAATTATGTTGGTCATGAGTCATTAGGTGCACATAGTGCAGCCGAACAAGATGGATGAAAGAAAAACTGATGTCCTTACAGATTTAACTTACTGGAAAAAAAATACATTTATTTATGAATATTGTATCTAGTTTCTCTTTTCTTTTCAGGACTGTCGGTGTTGCTTGACAGCCTTCCCAGAACTTTTCAGATTTGTTTGGCCAGCAACTCTCTCCAAAAATATCTGCTGTAAATTCTGAAAGTTGCTTCCCAAATGCATCTGGATAGGTCATATCACAGCTGATAAAACAATTAAAAATAATAAAATGACAGCAATAGAATCCAATAATGAAGGAAGGCACAAGGAAAAAAAAACAACACTATAAAATACATTATCAGAATTTATCAAGTAACATACTTAGGAGCAAATTAAACAATATTGAATAAATATATATTCTAGAAGAGGATAATTATTCTTTTTTCTCATGGCTGTAGATTCTTAACATGACAGGGTAAAGGAGGAATAGCAGGTTATTAAAAATAAAATTGTAAGGTTGATTTTTTTCACTGAACTTGAGACAGGAAAAAACCTGTATGTTTACAAACATTAACTTGAACATTAAAAATTACTAAACAATAAAGTAAGATAAAACCCAACAAATGAAGTATGATTTTTTTAAAAAAAGAAGTGGGGATGACAAAGGAGTAAAAGTTTCTAGGAAATGCCTTAGACTAAAGAACTTTTTTTATTTTGGGTTTTGGGCAGGTGTTTGACAGACTTTGACAAAAATCACGTATCAAAAATTCACTGCTGCAAATCAGTGCATCCTTTGGTTGTCTATAATTATTATTTTAGTTATAGTACTTTAGTTTAAGAATTCATAACTCATGGTTTGATAGATTTCTCTCGTTCTAGAAATATGATAATACATTTTATATAGACAAACTAGGGATATCACATAGGAGAACAAATGTATCCTGAACAAATTGTGATTATTATTAACTATTTTGAAAAGTTAGTGAAAGGATACAAGCCAGGTATCAAAGATACAAAAGCTGTGATTTAGGCACAGGAAAATCTGTCTCAGGATTACATCACTGTGCTGGCTACGCAACACACCATCATTCCATCACAATGGGTCTCAAAAGTTTTAGTAGTATATAGATATAGCCTTGTTTGGGATGAACAGACATCATTCCACTTTAATAATGGCACATAATTCCTCTTGAGTAGCATTTAGCACATTGGAGAGCCAGTTGATTTTGTATAATTGCTTGTCTCATTGAACAAGTTCTTGATTTACTGCTGCTAGGGCATTAACAGTAGTGTTCAAGGACTGTGAAATGAGATCTGCAAATTCATTAACTTTAATCATGATATGCCCCACTCAAACAGGGGAAATTAAAGATACTCTATAGCCCCTCCATAGTATTAAAAAACATTCCTTTTTTTGCCATCTATAGTACCTTCCAAGTATAGTAATTTAAAATAGTATATCAGTGATTGCATGACCTCTGTAGATGCCTTTCGCTAAATGAATAAATAAAAGTGGGTAAAGTGACTTTAAAATAATAATGGAACCAAACCATCCCTAGGTAACATGTTTTTATCCAACTGGATGGAAGCCAAGGCCATGAACATGCTCCACACATTCCCAAAATCCCATCTGATACATCTATTTACAGTCCTGTTGCATTCTCCAATTTATAAACACTTTCTAATATAAAGTGATTTTACTGTATTTTTCCAATATTGTTCACCTGTTCATCCCATCTTGGGGGAAACCTTCTTTCTTTTTATGTGAGATGATTTGACTGTCAGAACAAATAAGGGTGTTATGCAAACACAACTATCAAATATCTGCTACCCGTATGTTGCCATTCACATCATGGCTGGCTATCATATATACTGGCATTTCTAGCCTTCCTGTCTGTCTCATGACAACTAAAAGCAATATTATGAGAATCTGCATCATTGTCATTTCCATGAAAAGCTTATCGTTAGTTAAATATGATAAAGATATATGTTTTTCTTATAATTCCTTCTTAAAAGTATCTAGCTGATAATAATCATGTCCTAATAAAGGCTCTATATACAATGGGAATCCACCATGTCCATGTACTGGCAAAGCAGAACATATCCAGCTATTATATCACTTATTTATTGATGCATACTTGTGCAGTCATGAGAGGTAAATATTTGTGAGCCCTGAGTGTTCTGCAAAAACTACTGCAATCAAAATAAATGGCAGACTCAAAAAGATGCACATCTAGAGATAGAAGACTGTTAGGGGCAAGGATAGCGTTATCCTCCTCATTTAAGATAAAACTTATTGCTTCTCCTGCTACTGCTAGTACTTCTGTCTTTGCTAGTTTACTAACTGGTTTTTCTTTCCTATTGATCCAAATCTATTGTTGCCTCTCAAATTATTATATTCTGTCCCATCTACTCTTTTATGGGCAGATAATAGATTTTTCCAGAAATAGCTGGGCAATCCATTCCCATCCCTCAATAAAAACACTGCTATCTCCTCCATTATATAAATCAGTCTGTAGTTCCCTTGGTAATCTTAGCACCTGGATTCCCTTTACAACTAAATTAGATCTGAGGACAACCTGGCCATATGTTCCTTGAGGTATACAAATGAAAATTCCCAAGGAAGGGATTTTTTTAGAACTTTTGATACATTTATAACCACAGAACAATCTAGCCCAATTACTTTTGGAGTGCCCCTAATAGCACTAGTGCATCTTTAGGGCTACCTGCTTCCAATGGTATCTGTCTATTTAGTAACATATTCTAGGACAGTATTATTGTTAGGGATGTCAGACTCATATCCTCTCTACTGCTTTCCCTTCCTATGGAACAATATTTCTTGTGTGATTAGAATGGCTCCATATCTTCGGAAGCTAGCAGAGAGTTGGCAACTGCAAGTTTGTGATTAATTAAACCCTCATATTTAACAGCAGTTGAATGTGGGGATCTTGTTTGTCTAAAACATGAACACCAAAAAGTACAACTATGAGGGAAATGAAGCTAGGAGTCATTCTACTTGTTCTTGAAGGAATAGTATCACTAAACTCATAACTCTGAGAATATGGGAGAAAGCCCTTGGAATTCATGATAAACAATTACAGGATATAATTCCAACTGTAATATTATAATAGCTGTTATTGCCATTTATAAGGGGACTTGTTAATTTGGTGTCTTGTCCTTCTGAAGAGAAATAAAGGGCATATAATATAATCAGCTAAGAGTCTTTAGTTGAATGAGAATGAACTATCCTAATAAAAAAAACCATTTATTTTATAGGTACACCTGGTCAAAAAGGAGATAAAGGATCCTTAGGAGTTCCTGGCACTATAGGTCTTCAAGGAGTGCCAGGTATTTCAGGATACCCAGGATCGAAGGGGGAAAGGGGGGAAAGTGCCACTATCTATCGATCTGCCTTTAGTGTTGGCTTAACATCCAGAGTTTCTTATATTAATACGCCTATCAAATTTACAAAGATCTTCTACAATGAACAAAATCATTATGATACAATTACAGGAAAGTTCCAATGCACCATTGCTGGAGTATACTATTTTGCATATCATCTCAGTGTATATGCCTCAGATGTGAAAGTTAGTTTATTCAAGAAGGACACGGCAATCATAATCACCTATGACCAGTACCAGAAGAATGATGTGGATCAGGCTTCTGGATCTGTTTTACTCCATTTGGCATCGGGGGATGAAGTTTGGCTACAGTTATATGGAGAAGAAGAAAACAGTAGTATCTATGCTGATAATATTAATGATTCAACTTTCATGGGATTTTTACTTTACCCTGATTTGAATTATGAGTGATAGAGTGGGGATAGAGTAGGGAAGATAGAAGAACAACCAAGCATGACATGGACTCCATTTTTCTTGTAGTTGTCTGGCATGTTAGAAACACAAAATAATCTTGAAGATGGTTCAAATTTGAATGTTTATAACTTGCATATTAAGATGATTTGTATGTGTAAATCATCAAATATTTGTATTCCTTCACACCACTTCAGTGGTTTTCAGTTCAGACATTCAGTTGTCTGTTATGCAATAATTAGATATAATGAAATCAAGTAATAAGCATATACACGAGCATGTTTATGTGTGCACATACACACACAGACACAAGATTTCAGCCTGTACTTATTCAAGATAATGTTATAGTATGTTTATTTATAGTTACACCAACAAAGAATAAACATTGATTGGACTTACACATTGTATTAAGCCTTAATGGAATTTGGTTTTGGACTAGCATGTAATATGGATACAGCCATTGTGCTTTGTAAACTATATTTTATAGCTTGTCATGCTGTGAAAATTTAGCTAATTGTGATTTATTTAATAAACTATGGTAATACCTTATTGTGTGAATCAAGTTAGTGAAATAAAGCTTTAGCACCACAATTTTCAGACTGATTCTTGGTTAGACCTAAATTAAAATTTCAGTTGCATTTACACTCGTATCTTTGTTCCTTTATTGTTTCATTCAGAAGGTCTGGGTTCTTTGATTAAGGCAGATAATTTTGAATTAATGTGGAAAAATTAATCCCTGCAAAAACCAACATTGTGAATTCTCAAAAATGTCTGGCTATGATAGAGCATTACTGCTCTGAAGCAATGAGCCTGAGACTTGGAAGGCTATTTGATCAATATAATTCTGAGCTATAAAAACATTCCATATGTTAAGTTTGTGTCCTTGTAGAGACAATCCCCTTAAATTCCTAGCCCAATTCCTATTCCGTGTATATTGAGCCTTCAATAGGGACACAAGGCCTATTTCATAACTCCCTATTTGGTGAAGTATCCATAAATTTTCAACTTTTTTTAAGTAGAGCTATTCCTGTTGAATCAATATGATTCAGTTTCCCTGAATGTGGTAAAATGTTGTTATATCTGCAAAACTCAACATGTCTTGATTATGTTAATGATGTAGTTATAATTTTATGTTTGTTGAATTACTTGAAGCAGAATCTGTTTATTTGCTTTAAGTTGCAGAATTCTAGTCAGTGATCATAATAAAAGAATGAAAGCATTAAGGCGGAATTGGGACAAAATATTCATTGTGAACCTATGATACATGCTTGCTATTAAACCATTAAAAAGCACACAACTTAGCTATTAAAAAGCACACCTTGGCTGCTCATAATCCAAAATCTCTACCATACTTTCTATCACTCATGATTTTTCTTTTTCTAGTTTTCTTCCATATTATGGAATTGACTTTTAAGAAATATATATTTATTTGAAGGAATACTTGTGAGTTGCCCATCTGTTTTTAGGTTGGTGATAGAACTTCTCTTTTTTCTTCATTCCCTTTCTGCCACACACAAAAGGACTCTGGATATTCTAGTATGGCAACAAGAAAAGCTTGTGAAAAAAATTATTTTAAAGGCAATTTGCTCAGAGCTAACCACATATCAGACATATCCTCACTGAGACTGAATAGCCTAAAGGCCATAACACTTAAAACAAATGTCACTGCTGGATTTATTAAGATTCATTTCAATCTTAAAGAATATTTAACATTGTCAAAAAGGAATATTCCAATGAGCATGTTAATATAAAATGAAATGGAGAGGAATAGTAAAATACAGTAAAATGCATTAATAATAATAATAATAATAATAAAGTTGGAAGGGAAGCATTAACAAAATGAAAATAATATAAACTATAATTGAAAGAATTACTGAAAGAATAAGACAATCTAAAGTATAACTCAGACTAAACTACATTTCCCTTCTATGAATATCCTTAAATTAACATCTTTCAAAAGTATAGAAATCAATTTCCAAAAAACATAGAGAAAGCAAGGATTTGAAAAAGTTTCTTGAATGAAGGGAATATGTGACAGCCTCTTTTAAAAATTGATATTAAAAAAATGGACCTATGTACCAGGTATCCTAGCAAAATTAGTCATAAAGCATCAGAAGTGAATCTAAAAATATATAAAGGCATACATAATTGATCTTTTTATGCATAATTGATCTGTATTAATATTGTTAGCATCATTTTGAGATATATTTTAAAAGGCATAGCACAGAATCTTAATATATACTACTACATATTATTCTTTCAAAGTTTAGCCTATTATGAGATCATACTTAGTTCCTTGTAACTCGGTCAGTAATTTTTTCTCTTCTAAAATCTATAATTTGCCTTGTTGCTTTTGGCTCAGTGAAACTATTTCTGGGAAAGTCTCATTGATAAAAATATTTGAGATCTCAAGTTACCCTGCAGTCACTGGAAATATCCACAAGATGGTGCCCAGCTATCAACAACAAAGATCATTTTCCAATAGGTTCTCAAGTGCTTCTTTTTTTAAGAACAGAAGTGAACAGAGTTCCCAGAAAATAAATTAGATTTTTACATAAAATCAAAATACAAGTTGCTTTCTTTTATAACTTGATCCACTTTTATCACCTGAATATACACAACTGCAGTGCTTTTTTATAGAGCTTATTATTATTGTTTAAAAATCCTCAAGTATGTGGCACATAAATTGCAGCAAATAAATTAAATATTAAATGTTCAGAATATAGCTACATGATGGAATATTGCCCATGGCAAAGAAATTCTGGTTCTTCTACCACAATATCTGAAAGGCATTATTATACCTTTGAAATCTGGTGATTTCAAAATATATTTTATAAATAACAGTTGGTCTTTGAAGAAGCAAGACTAATAGAATATTGATGCTTTTGAGCTTTGATATTGGAGAAGACTCTTGAGAATATTATGGATATCCAAGAGAACAAACAAGCATATCATGCAAATTGGTCCAGAATTCTCATTCACTCAAATCACTAGGCTTGAATTGCCATTTTTGGTGACATTATATTAATAATAGTAAAGTTGGAAGGGACCTTGGAGATCATCTAGTCCAATCCCCTGCTCAGGCAGGAAACCCTATACCATTTCGGACAAATGGCTGTCCAATCTCTTAAAAACTTCCAGTGTTGGAGCATTCACCGCTTCTGGAGGCAAGTTGTTCCACTGATTAATTGTTCTAACTGTCAGGAAGTTTCTCCTTAGTTCTAGTTTGCTTCTCTTTTTGATTAGTTTCCATCCATTGCTTCTTCTCCTGCCTTCAGGTGCTTTGGAAAATAGCTTGACTCCCTCTTCTTTATGGCAGCCCCTGAGATATTGGAACAATGTTATCATGTTCCCCCTCGTCCTTCTCTTCATTAAACTAGACATACCCAAGTGCAGCAGCTGTTCCTTATATGCTTTAGCCTCCAGTCCCCTAATCATCTTTGTTGCTCTTCTCTGTACTCTTTCTAGAGTCTGAACATCTTTTTTACAGTGCGGTGACCAAAACTGGATGCAGTATTCTAAGTGTGGCCTTACCAAGGCATTGTAAAGTGGTATTAACACTTCACGTGATCTTGATTCTATCCCTCTGTTAATGCAGCCTAGCACTGTGTTGGCCTTTTTGGCAGCTGCAGCACATTGCTGCCTCATATTTAGGTGATTGTCCACTAGGACTCTGAGATCCCTCTCACAGTTACTACTATTGAGCAAGGTACCCCCTGTACTATACCTGTATATTTGGTTTTTCCTGCCTAAATGTAGAACCTTGCTTTTTTCACCATTGAATTTCATTTCATTATCCAAGACCCAGCTCTCTTTAGATGCCTATAATCCTGGGAAAGGAAAAGAGAGAGAAGAAGAGCACTACCAGCAGCAAGATGAATGCATGGACTTGATTTCAGCAGTGATGACTGAACTGATGGAAGACCTGAAGGACTACACTGGGAACAGATTATCCTGGATAACATCCAGGTAACTTCTAATCCTAACTCCTCAGACTATAAAGGAAATGCTGGGAGAGTTTGTACTTCCGTTTTTCAGGATTCTGTTAACGCAGCCTTTCAATAAAATAGAAGAAACTCGTCTGGTCTATTTTGTGTCCGGTACATCTGGGAAGGCTGACCTCAAACTTTCAAATCTGAAAGTACAAACCACCTGCTGTTTCCTTTACACCCTGAGAAGTTAGGGAGCCTCTTTTTCCATCCATTATGCAGCTGTGAGCTGAATTCTCTCTTTTCTTGTCACTCTCTAGACAGCATCACTTCACCCCATTTCCCAAAGTCTTTCTTACCTACCATTACAACATATGAAAATTATATAAAAATTATCTGGTGGGGTTGCTGGCTTTACATTATGAACAGGCCATGGCAAAGTTTGAGCAAGGGATCTTCAACATGAAAGTTTTGATTGAAGTTTACAAAATTCCTAAAAATCTAACCTGGGAAAATATTTAGAATTGTTCTAAATTAGCTAGATACTTTGAGCAATTCATAGTTCACAAATACTACAAGGCTTTTATGTTAATGTGATTTGACAGCTCACCATTAGCAGTTAGAAGATAGATTCAGGAAGAACTTGTTTTTGTGGAATAGATGCTGTGACTTTTATAGTACCTTTTGAAATAAGCTCAAAAAACCTCCTAGGTTTTTTCCTTGGGAGCAAATGAGTTTATAAGCATCACCTTGTACCAGACATGGTCTCTAGAATCTAGACTTTTTACAGCCAAATTCACACCACTAGCATGCAACGCTTAACTATGTCAATTGAACATTTTAGAATAGAATAGAATAGAATAGAATAGAATAGAATAGAATAGAATAGAATAGAATAGAACAGAATAGAATAGAGCTGGAAGGAACCTTGGAGGTCTTCTAGTCCAGCCCTCCCTGCTACCCAACTACACCATCTCCTAGTTAGTTCCGAAGATACATGGAGGAGACTGGAGTGGTAAGTTTCTCTTGATCTTCGGCTCTGCTAGGGCAATAATGGGTGTGCGCGCAAGAGGCAGGGGTGGTGGGGGTGCTGCAGGCAGGGATGTGAGAGGTGGCAGTGGCTGGCTGCCCCCCCATGCTGTGGGAGCCGCAGGCTCTCTCAACATGGGGCTGCACATGGTGGGCAGTGGTGCTGGCAGGGCGGCTGCAGGCAGGGTGTGTTGACCGTGGGCTGCCCCCCAGGGACAGAGCCAGCGCGGCTGGTGCTTTGGGAGCCGCAGGGCCTGCTCAACATGGCGGGTAGCAGTGCTGGTGGGGGCGCAGCGGGCGGTTGACCTTCCATGGGCCAGGCCAGGTTTTATGATATTTTTTCTTCAATTTATTTGTGTCCTCCTTTTCATTGTAAAAAAGTTGGTCACCTTATGTTATATATCCTTATGTATGTATCAATATTTGGCAACTACTGTATTTTATTTTACTTCACTGTGGATCAGTGACAATAATGAACATTATTTGAAACTTGATTTGATGTATTTGTGATGTATTTGATTTTTGTATTGGCCTTACTGATTTTAGAGTGTGGCTGTAGTATGACACTTAAAGACTTATGGAGCTTTGACCTGAAAAAAAATTATATAACTCAGGCACACAAGATTGGCTTGC